GCTTTCAATATTCAATATTTCGACATAATCTTATATTGCTTTCCTTCAGGTACCTCCCTCGCGTAATGATTTCTGCTGTTCCAAAAGCCGTTCCAAGGGGGACGGTCCAGGCCCGAACCACAAAGACTGCTGATTAAGACGAGTTTTCGTTTGATCTTGATTCGACACATTGCAACTCTGTGCATTAGATCCCCATGCATTGCTACTGCTGAATAGAGAATAGGTATTTCCAGTGCTGATCGACTGATTCGATTTGATGTCTACCTGTAAGCAGGAGTACGACAATTTTACTGTTGTTTATTCGATTTATTTATTTATTCGCTGGCAAAAGATTAGAACACGATATATACCTCCAATGGCCTAGGGCTTTCGAAATTACTGCCACTGCTAAACTGCTTGGCGTGCTGAGAATCCGACGGTGGATAATTATTCGAAGTTCTCAATGGAATTTGCGATACTACGTTGCCAGAATTAGAAGTATCTTCCCAGTTGTGATAGTTCTCCGTGACAGGCGTGTCGTCATTGTGCAACTGGATGCCTCTACCAGTCGTACCCCAGCAAGGTACAGAAAGTTGTGAGTGCTGGCTATCCTTCCACAAGTTGAAATTCGTCGTGGCCTCGTAGTTTTGGAAAGGCGGGTAAGGCGTAGTTGCCGGCTGGGGCTGATTTTTCGACGTGATTCCCAAGTGATTGGGCAACGAAAATTCCAAAACGTCCGGGTTCTTGTTGTACGCCGACGAGGGGAGTTGTTTCTGCGATACTTGACCAAAGGCATTTTGATTAAATTCGTTCTGATTGAAATTATATTGAAAATTCGACGTGGTCGTGGGATTCAGCGAGTTGCTCGGCACGTTTGACGCGTTCGGTAACATAGGAGCGACTTGATGAAGCTTCTTTTGATATGTATTCAACGTTGATAAAGGCGAGACGTTTGCAATAGTTGGACTGGTCAGGGGACCTTGATTATGCAAAGGCATCGTGTTGGATCTAAGACCAGACTTGGCGACGTTTTGCTGCATAGTCATGTTGTGATTCTGCTGAGCAGTCAAATTACGATTTTGCTGCAAACCAATACTTCTATTTTGCTGGGAGTTGATGTTCTGCGAGGCGTTTGACATAACATTATTTGGCTGAGCCGACGACAGCATTCCAAGATTTTGATGTAGCAACGTATTCTGCAGCACATTGTGAGTTTGTGGCCTCTGAGTGTGCATGGGCCTACTCTGATTGGATGTATGTTGCAAACTTATGCTCTGCGGCTGCATCTGCGCTTGTTGTGCCGAACTAGCGAAACGTCCTTGAACCGGGTAATTCGACAGATTTCCAATATGATTGGTGACGTAGTTCTTCGTGAATTGCGGATTCTGCACGTTGAACGTTGGGTTCTGATAACAAATAGCAGCTCCCACGCACTGAGACATCCCAGTTGCAATCGGAGTTGGAATCTGCCCGGGCGCTTGTTGCTCTTTCGCGGGGAAGTGATTAATCTGAGTGGGCTGCGACGGTGAAACGACGTGCTGCGATTTCGCGGCTTTCACTTGACTTTGAGTGGGAACGATGTGAGTTTGCATAGCAATTGTGGCAGAAGGCATTAACGGCAATCGGTTTTGAGCGGTGACCACTGGCGTGGCCGAAGTGGCGCTCGCAACACCGCTCAACTTCGACATCTCTCCAGTGACTGATACGTTTTTACTCCCATTTGTAGGAGCAGCTTTTATCGGACTCACCGACGACGTTCCACTCGCTTTGACTTTTTTCTCATTCTCTTCCTCCACGTTCAACGGAGACAAATTCTTGAACGTAACCTGCTTTTGCTCGGTTTCAGCACGTCGCATGATCGTTTGCATCGCTATGTTCTGCCTTGGTTTCCTGGTTGCTGGTTGCACGTTCGCCTCGAAAGTGCCGGACTCCGCAGCGGTGATCGAGACCGTGTTGTCTTTACTTCGCTCCAACGAGCCTTGAGGCTTCAAGATGCCTATCCTCTTGTCAAAGCCGTGCTCCAACATATCCACGTCCGTGGAACCTTTGCTGCTGGCTGACTCTGAAAGAACCGGGCTAGTAGACACAGCCGATTGCCTTTCCTTGTTTAAACTCAGTTCTTCCAATTCTTTCATCAATTCGTTACTCAATCCATTCCCTTCGCTTATCGAACTGAACCTGTTGTCACCCTTCTCCCCTCCTAACGTAATGGCAATTAACGCGGTACCATTGACTTTGTATTGCGCCAAACAATGGCCCAAACGAAGAATACGAACTGCGCGTAATTTGTTGGAAGCCTCGACGTTATCCTCCAAATCGGTGCTCGTGAATTTCAACGGCTCGAAGCTTTTCTCCAGCGGCAGGAACCCTTGTAGATCACGATCCTCTGGCAGTGGTACCTTAACGTATTGATCGTACGAGAAATCAGCCACGCAATTTTGCAGGGCGTTCAACAATACGCACAAGCTGGGCCAGATTTGGAGTCTCGACGTAAAAGCCAGTTCTTCCAGAACTGTCGGCTTCGTATGGATCCAATCAAGGCACAGTTTTATTGAAGGCAAAGCGAAATACTCAATAATAGAATTTTTGATTGTATAAACAGGTAACAACAAAGCAGACAGGCTTCCAGCTATCAGATCCAAGATGCAATCGCGAGCGAGCTTTTCGTCAGATGTTAATTGCTCGTGTTTCAGCGGTTCGCTGCTACCCACGACGACACTTGTTGTATGCTCCAATGCATACAAATTAATCACAAACATTTGAACGAGCATCCATGAGCTGAAACTTTCCGTGGCAACTAAAGCCGTCAATGTTTCGGTCAGTAATTTCGCATACGCCGAGGCAACTTTCAAATCGCCGAGATTGTGAATAACGCCGTGGAGTTTCAGAAAAACTGCTACATATTCTTGAGAAGTTAATTTCGTTTTCCCATCTATATTCAACGACGTATCGTTCAAAGCGGTAGATAACGTTTTCGCCAGGTTCGTCGTGGCAACGGGGAAAGGATGTTTCACAGCGACAGACCGCGTGTAATAAAACACAGTTGCCAATTTGTTACCACGTGACGCTTCAAGAAGTGCTAATTGATTGTACGGCTGGCCACTGGATGGTGACAATGACACAGCATGCCTGTAGAATAATTCCGCTTGTTTGCTCTCGTTTCTATAACGAGCAATATCCCCTAAATGCACAAGGCAATATTGGCATGCGTAAAAACATGAAGATTTATGAGGCACTGATAATTTTTCAATAGCTTTCCATGGCGACGTACATCCGTATATGTAGCCCTTCCTAAAAAAAGGAATACGATGAAATAAAATTGAAATTTGTACAGAATGCTGCTCTGTAGAACACTGTCTGCGATACAAATTTTTAATTTATTTAACATATGCGAAAGGATATAAAGGATATCTTACAATTAATTTCACTTAATTACCTTCTAAATGGCAAATCCAGGTCAAACGCGGTACAAATTTCTTGTAATAACGTCAAATAAAAACCACTAGCTGCTTCCAAACACCAGCTAAGTAACGCCTGAGATTCTCCGCGTTTAGGATTTTTCCTATCCTTTGCTTGAGATTGTAAAGTTGCTATATAATTTTTAAATCCTAGGTTCCAGAGTTCCTGCTCCACTTTCCTGTCCAAAGCATATTCCAAATCCAATATTAAAACCTGCTGGTATATTTTCTGCAGCTGTTGCTGGCATACCCAGGCGTCACTATCGTTTAAAAGATCTCTGCAACGTTGTACTTTGTCCTTTAAGGGCTCAGCTTTCCTAACAAAAACAATAATCAATTAACTTAAACACTGTGTAAGTATCAAGAAATAATTTCTTCATCTTGGACTCACTTTAAAGCTTGTACAGCTGCGTTTAGGCCCATATTCTGCGTACCTTGAATTTCTGTACAAAACTGTTTTATCTACAGAAACAAATTAAGCAAATATCAAGTCACACTTATCATATATATATATATGAAATGTTAGACCTTCTACATAGAAATGAATTCTACCTACAATAAATACATATATGTGTACAAACGCACAGACACAATATA